CAGGGATATTGACTTCTGCATTGATTTGGCTCCAAGCACCCAGCCCATTTCTATTCTGCCATATCGTATGGCCCCACCCGAGTTGAAAGAGTTGAAGGGGCAGTTGCAAGACTTGATTGAAAAGGGTTTCATTAGACCTAGTGTTTCGCGTTGGGGTGCGCTGGTGTTGTTTGTTAAGAAGAAGGATGGATCAATGAGAATGTGTATTGATTACCGGTAGTTGAACAAGGTTACAATCAAGAATAAGTACCCATTACCGAGGATTGATAATTTTTTGATCAGCTTCAGGGTGCCAAGGTATTTTCAAAGATTGACTTGAGATCTGGCTACCATTAGTTGAGGATTAAGGCATCCGATGTCCTTAAGACAGCTTTTCGCACTCGGTATAGGCATTATGAGTTCTTGGTGATGTCATTCGGGTTGACAAATGCCCCAGCAGCTTTTATGGATTAGATGAATCGAGTGTTTAGGCCTTACTTGGATTCGTTCGTGATAGTCTTCATTGATGATATTTTGATCTATTCCCGCAGCCGGGAAGAGCACTATTAACATCTTAGAGTGGCTCTTTAGACATCGAGGGATAGTCAGTTGTATGCTAAGTTTTCAAAGTGTGAGTTCTGGTTGAGCTCAGTTGCATTTTTAGGTCATGTCGTATCAGTAGAGGGTATTCAAGTTGATCCGAAGAAGATTGAGGTAGTTAAGAACTGGCCTAGACCAGCATCAGCTACAGAGATCCGGAGTTTCTTGGGATTGGCAGGCTATTATCATCGATTTTTGGAGGTGTTTTCGTCCATTTCAGACCCACTGACCAGGTTGACCTAGAAGGGTGCCCAGTTCAGGTGGTCGGACGAGTGTGAGGTGAGCTTTCAGAAGCTCAAGACAGCTTTGACTACGACACCGGTATTGGTTTTGCCCACAGGTTCAGGGCCATATACAGTTTATTATGATACATCTTATATTGGGCTTGGTGCGGTGTTGATGCAAGATAGCAAGGTCATTGGTTATGCTTCGCGGCAGTTGAAGATTTATGAGAAGAACTATCCGGTTCATGATTTGGATTTGGCCGCCATTGTTCACGCGTTGAAAATTTGGAAGCATTTTCTGTATGGTGTAGCATGTGAGGTTTTCACGAATCACAAGAGTCTGCAGTATTTATTCAAGAAGAAGGATCTAAATTTGAGGTAGAGAATGTGGTTGGAGCTATTAAAGGACTATGATGTCACCATCTTATATCATCCGGGAAAGGCAAATGTAGTGGCCGATGCTTTGAGTAGAAACTCAGCCAGTATGGACAGTCTTGCTTATATTCCTGTCGATGAGAGACTGCTTGCTTTGGATGTTCAGGCTTTGGCCAATCAGTTCGTGAGGTTGGATATTTCTGAGCCCGGCCGTGTGTTAGCTTGCACGGTCGCTCGTTCTTCATTATTGGAGCGCATCCGTGATCGGCAGTATGATGATCCCCATTTATGTGTCCTTAGAGACACAGTGCAGCACAGAGGTGCCAAGCAGGTTACCTTAGGTGATGATGGAGTTTTGAGATTACATGGTCAAATTTGTGTGCGTAATATGGATGGACTCCGAGAGTTGATTTTAATTGAGGCCTATAGATCCTGATTCTCTATTCATCCGAACGCTGTGAAGATGTATCAGGATTTGCGGCAGCATTATTGGTGGCGGAGGATGAAGAAAGATATCGTTGTATATGTGGCTCGGTGTTTGAATTGCCAGCAGGTTAAGTATGAGCATCAGAAGCTTGGTGGTTTGTTCCAGAAGATTGAGATTCCTGAGTGGAAGTGGGAGCGGATCACTATGGACTTTGTTATTGGACTCCCACAGACTCAGAGAAAGTTCGATGCAGTGTGGGTTACTGTTGATAGGCGGAACAAGTCAGTGCATTTCATTCTTATGGCAGTCTCCTATTCTTCCGAGAGGTTTGCTGAAATCTATATCAAGGAGATTGTTCGTATTCATGGTGTGCCTGTGTCTATTATTTCGGACCTAGGTACGCAGTTTACCTCACATTTTTAGAGAGCAGTTCAGCGAGAGTTGGGTACACGGGTTGAGTTGAGCACAACATTTCATCCTCAGAGGGACCGACAGTCCGAGCAGACTATTTAGATTTTGGAGGATATGCTCCGAGCTTGTGTCATCGACATTGGAGGCTCGTGGGATCAGTTTTTGCCTTTAACGGTGTTTTCCTATTACAACAGCTACCAGTCGAGTATCCAGATGGCTCCTTATGAGGCTTTGTATGGTAGGCAGTGTCGGTCGCCGGTTGGATGGTTTGAGCTGGGGGAGGCTCGGTTGTTAGGTACGGATCTGGTTCAGGATGCCTTGGACAAGGTTAGGATTATTCAAGATAGGCTTCGTACAGCTCAGTCTAGGAAAAAGAGTTATGCCGACCGCAAGGTTCGTGATTTGGCATTCATGGTCGGTGAGCGGGTATTGCTTCGTGTGTCGCCTATGAAGGGCGTGATGAGATTTGGGAAGAAGGGCAAGCTTAGCCCTATGTTTATTGGCCCATTTGAGATTCTTGATCTAGTGGGAGAGGTGGCTTACAGACTTGCGTTGCCACCGAGCTTATCAGCCGTGCATCCAGTGTTTCATGTGCCCATGCTTTGGAAATATCACGGCGATCCATCCTACGTGTTAGATTTCAGCACTATCCAGTTGGACAATGACTTGTCTTACGAGGAGGAGCCGGTAGCTATTCTAGACCGGCAGGTTTGTCAGTTGAGATCGAAGAGTTTTCCTTTTGTTCATGTTCAGTGGAGAGGTCAGCCTGCTATGGCATCGACCTGGGAGTCTGAGTCCGATATGCGGAGCCGTTATCCTCATCTTTTCCCCGACTCAAGTACTTCCTTCTTCTGTCCGTTCGAGGACGAATGGTTGTTTTAGAGGTGGAGGATGTGATGACGTCATCACTTGTTTTAAACGTGACTTCTGCATTCTGAAGCCTTAAAAACCTCTTTCGGCATCACCTTGATTTGCGTGCGCAGTCTGGGCGCCTATTCGGAAAGCCATTTTGTGAAAATCTGTGAAAAATGATGAATTTTGCATTTAAAATGAGTTTAAGTTGACTTCAGTCAATATTTTGGGTAAACGGACCCGAACCCATGATTAGACGGTCACGGAGGGTCCATAGGAAAATATAGGACTTGGGCGTATGCCCGGAATTAAATTCCGAGGTCCCAAGTCTGAGAAATGAATTTTTAAAGGAAATTATTTTCTGAAATTGTTTATGAGTTTTGGAAATGAATTGTGATTAAAACTTGATGGTATCGGGCCCGTATTTTGGTTCCGACGCCTGGTACAGGTCTTATATGTAATTTAAGGTAAGTTTGTGAAATTTGGTAAGAAACAGACTTGAAACGACGTGAATCAGATCGTTTTTTAGAAAATTGGAAATTTGAAGTTCTTAAGAAAATTTCATGATTTTGATACTAAATTCATAGTTGTTGATGTTATTTTAGTGATTTGAATGTGCGAGCGAGTCCGTATGATGTTTTTAGGTTGGTGTGCATGTTTAGTTTGGAGCCCCGGGCACTCGGGTGAGTTTTGGATAGGCCATGGGGTGAATTTTTGGACTTAAAGAATTGCAGTCTTCAGCTATTTCTGTGCAAGCCTGTAGCCTGGGTCGCAAATGTGATATCGCAAATGCGAGGGGTATGTCGCAATTGCGAAAGTAGCCCAGGCCAGCCTATCCCGCAATTGCGAGGATTTTGATCGCAAATGTGATCCCCCAGCTTGTGGTCAGTCGTCGCAAATGCGACATGTGGATCGCAATTCCGAGCTCCCAAATGTGAGCCCTTTTCGCAAATGCGAGCATAGCAAAGGTTGGGGTTCGCAATTGCGAACCATGGTCGCAATTCCCCTATCTGCAACCTGCAATTTTTATACTTAGCCGAAAAACTCCCATTTTTCACACTCTTTCAAACCAAAACACTGTTGGGCGATTTTTCAAAGACAACTCTTCTTCCAAATCGATTGTAAGTCAATTTTAACTCGTTTTCTTCAATCATTAACATATTTTCACTGATTTCAACTCCAAATCAATGATTTTCATGGGAAAAATTGGGTGTTTTGGATAGAACCTAGGTTTTTCAAAAATTGGGGATTTACACCTCGATTTGAGGTCCGATTTCAAAACAAATTATATATTTGGGTTCGTGAGGGAATGGGTAGTCGGGTTTTGGTTCGAACCTCGAGTTTTGACCATGTGGGCCTAGGGGCAATTTTTGACTTTTTGGGGTAAAACTTTAGAAAACTCATTTTCATGCATTAGAATTGATTCATTTAGCGTTTATTGATGTAATTAAGTAACTTGTGGCTAGATATGAGCGAATTGGTGGTGGAATCACGAGGTAAAGCGATAGTAGAGGCTTGAATTGTGTTTGTGGCGTCGAGGTAAGTGTTTGGTCTAACCCTAGCTTGAGGGATTAGGAGTATCTATACGTTGGTGTCAAGCATGACCGTGAGTCTTGTATTGTAATTGTTATGACTTCGTTGTAAATTATTGCACTTCTCATGTTATTGAAATATTATTGTTCCCTTGCCGGGATGTTGTTATATTGCTCTTGTTCCCTTATCGGGATGTTGTTATATTGCTCTTGTTCCCTTGCCGGGATTCTTGTGATTGTTGTTGATTTGTAACTGGGATCGGGTAGCACGCCTGCCACAAGATAAATCAAATGGGAGCGGGTGGAATGGGGAAGAAGACGAGAGGAGTTTAGAGAGAGGAATTCTGAGAGAAGTGAAGAACTTCCATTATCTTCTTCTGAAAATGAAATGTATATGTACAAAAGCTATTTATACACTAACACCTACAGTAGAGTTAACCGCCTTTCTACAGTGTTATTAACCTAACTAACTAACTGATTATACAAATAATATAGCTTAATATAACAATATTCTATAGCCACAACTTGCACTAGCACACCACTCTTCTACAAATATTGGATGGGAAGAAATTAAAATCATTCAAGATATACAAAAAAGGGTGAACTTCAAAAGGATAATATTGATGAAATTTTAAAATTGTCAAAAATCATATAAAAATGCAACTAAAGCGATATAGAAAATCTATATATGGAAGGATTGATTCATGATTTCACTCAACATATAACTACGATACAGAACTAGACAAATAAAGTAAAATCAAGATCCTTTCGCGTGAGAATTAAATGGAGATGCATAGTAGGTCTGAAGTAAAGTAAAGAAAAGGAGGGCAGTAGCAGCAAACAAAGCGAGTAGAGACCAGGGACTTGTAAAATAGGTATCTAACAGTTGAGCAATCCAAGTCTGCGACTTTCTGTTACAGTGCTCTCCGATTTGCTCTTTGACATCCTTGTAATTACTTACCACATGTACATAAGTTTTCAATGCTCTAAAGACTTGTACCACTTCTTCGTCACTTCCCAGATGGTTGAATATAATCTTGTTTTCTCGTAGCTCTTTCGCATCATTCGGTGAAAGCACAAGTGTTTTCATGAAATATATGTAAGCAGACACAGAGCAATCACAAGGATTACCTGGACAGCTCTCATAAGCTATCATGTTCCGGAAAAATACTCTAGTATACTCAGATACATACCAACATGGAAGTGAGAGTGTCGCATAGTAACAATGAGACGTAAACCTTACAGCCTTAAAAGAACCGAACCCGCTTGGCATAAAACGAACACCCTTTGATTTCAGATCCATTACTGAATGAAACATATCGGATGATTCTGTTACCATCGGGTTGCCTTCTTTCTTGTTACATCGATCAATGCATTTTGATATAAGTTCCATCATTGGACGGAACACCACGGGACATGTAATTGTCGGTCTGTTTTCATTACTACTACTATTATTCTTGAAACAACGGTGGGATTGTTTAAGACGTTGATCGCTACCACTGACAAGCGCTCTTCGAAGAAATTCCAAAAGGTGAGAGGGTTGTGGCTCCATCAACACATTATTTCTGGAATCTAGTTGGCCGAAAAAAATTAGACAAGAATAGCTTTTCAACATCTCTTCAAATCCACATCCACCATATCTCAAATTAAACAAGAGTTTGAGAATCCCAAAAGGAACCTGATTTTCAAGCAAAAACATATCACGTCGAACAAGAGAAAGAACTCCATAACCAAGATGCCAAAAAAAAGTGTCACCTTTATAGTAATTATTGTGCGACCTCTGGGTTATGAACTCGATAAAATTTAGAACGAAACATGCATCAAGAAGCATCATTTGAGCAAAAGCATTGTCGTCAATACATGTATCTTCCATGTCGTAGTAAAACTTTTAGCATCTTCGATCTCCTCGAGAATTTTTTTGAGGAAGAAATCTTGGTCTTTACCACTGCCATGAATAAACAATTGTAAAGCCACAGGCTTGGAATCCTCGACAAACTTGAGCTTCGGCTTTCCACGGTGGTAAGGCCCCAACGAAACAACTTTAGGACCATAATCATCGTTGTTCCGATCCTCAAGTCTCATGAATAGTGGAATTTTTGGTATTTGAGGAAATCGTATAGCATCTTGTATGAAGATACTAATGTCATCCATTTCTATTTCAGGTTCTAAGGATACTTTCTTGTTCTACCTTCATGAGTGAATAAGCAATGTTTATTTAATTAGCAATAATAGGAAAAAAAAAAATTAACCACCCCAATCAGTAAAAAGATAAGACCGGTGAAAAGTAATTAGAACAAAGAATCAACTATTTCCTCCCTCCATCAAACTATTTCTTTTTTGGTCCGTTCCAAAAAGAATGACCCCTTTAAAATTTGAAAACAATTTAGCATAAAATTTCAATTCTACCCTTAATGAGAAACTTTCATAATCACACAAATACTGTGAACCCCTTTTTGAGTTGTTTAGGACCACAAATTCCAGAAGTTTTCATTTTCTCTTAAAGTTCGTGTCTAGTCAAACAAGTTCACATATATTGGAACAGATGAGATATTTATATATCAGAAATTCCTTACTCCTCATTTTAAGTGAGCCTTTGACTAGACACAAAATTTAAGAAAATTAAAATTTGTGGTCTTAAATACTCCTACATTATGATATTTCTATTGCTGTAAAGTTATTTCATTGATAGTGAAACAACAAGTATAGATTTAAATTGTTGGAAAGCATTAGAAGAGAGTCTTTTCTTTTTTTGGAATCGACTAAAAAAGTGTCCCATAAAATATAACAAAGGTAACATGGAATTAAATGCTAAGCTGGTTCTACGGAAAATAAATTTAGTACATCTTCTAAATAAACATTAAAAAGAAATTATTTTCTCATGAAAAATATTTTTAAAAAAAAATAACCACGCATATACTCCATTCGTTCACTATAACTTCTACACATTAAAGGCAGAACTAAGAAATTAGACCGTCTACACATTAAAACTTCTGATTGACCCATTCTGGCTTAATATAATGTCTGAGACTTCTAATTCACTTCAATATAGGAGGTTAGAGTTTAATCCCAAGCATCTCTTCTTTTTTTTTTAATATGAACTGTTCAAAATTCATTAGTTCGACTAATTCAACATCGAATAAGCTCAATAAAAACATAAAATAATCGTCATTCCAATCCGAAATCTTTAATTAAAAATTAATAATCCCTACCATACCCTTGTCCTATCTAAACTAAAGGATTTCGTGAAAATGTAAATTACAGACAATATATATATCATAAAAAGGGAAAACTCACAGACTTAGCCGATCGACGAACACCTTTTGTTGACAGGGACTCAATTAACTTGCTCTACAAATGAATTTATAAGCGACATTCCTAGGACTCTCATTCACAGTCTTAAATGATGGAGCAAATGGGACTATGACAAACTACCTACCGATGGACCCATTGACTCATTGACTTAGCCAAAGAAAAGTATTCACTCCATTTCAATTTAATTATGTGACATAATTTTGACTGGCATACGAAGATTTAAAAGATGATACTTTTAAAACTTATGATCTTAAATATGTTATAACATAAGTGATAATAGGCGAAATCTAGGTGATTTAGTTATTGTTTATGCTTCCGCTTGATTATATTCCGATGTCATATTATGGTCAATTGATGAAAAATAGACTCTAATTGTGATATGTATACATTGCAGGATGAGGAGCCTAAATAATGCTTTCAAGAGGATATTGGAATGATTTGTGAGCAAGAACAACCCCTAGGAGTCGAGTGTGCGCAAGGACGAGACGGAATCGAGCTTCAGAAGCGCGCTAAGTAACGCGCTAACTCCAAACTTCACGCAATAGTTCGCGAGCTTTTCTGCCTGGAATCCAAGAGAAACGCGCGAACTCCATACTTAGCGCAGTAGTTCGCGCGTGTCCGATCCGGAGAAACGTTGCTTGGGGGTAAAATTGGAAATCTGGAGGGAAACCCACTTAACCTATATAAAGTCAAGCTCGCCCAAGGTTAAAAAAGGAAGGTTTTCATAGTTTAGGGCAAGAAATAGAGAGGCAAGAGGGGGAGGACGTTTTTGATAGTAAAACACAAGCATAGAGCCGCCGTGGAGGCCGGAATTCATCGGGTTTCATCTTTCTTCCTCCAATTTTAGTAATTTTTATGTTTCTTTGTATGAGTTGTTGTTTTGCTACCATGTCTATGTGGAGCTAAACTTCACGTTCTAGGGTTGTGGTTCTTTCATGACTATTGTTATTCGGATATTGAGTTTGATTTCTTAGTTTATAATATTGGTTTATTTATTCAATCATGCACTTAATTATTTGATTGCTTGATCACCAATTGAATACTATCTACGAATCTTGAATTGAACTCGAAAGTGGGAATTCTAGATTGCATATAGGATTGAATAGAGCAAGTTCTTGAACCTGGGCATCGGGGAACGGATTCGCGGTTAGGATAGACATATACCTAATTGCCTTGCTTGGTTGATTTACAGGAATTATAAATGCGTTCTTGTTGATTCTAACTCCATAGACATATAGGCGTTAGGTTAGCTTGAATAGGCGAGTAAGAACTCGACAGATTCTTATGAGCAATATTAACCCTGTCAACCAATAAACTAGGTAAATTAGTTAGTCAATTCAATAGAAGAATACAATAGGATTGTTAGATAGCCCATAACCCTAGATCGTTTTCATTACATTGATATCATAAAAATCTTCTATCCTTTGCCTCAGAGTTCATTATTTTTTTTTTCAATTAGTTTAGAATCAAATACTTCTAGGTTTAATTCTTGTATAGATAATTATGATAGTCTAATTTAGTTAATAGTTAATCACAAGTCCTCGTGGGATCGACATCCGACTTTTAGTCACTTTATTACTTGACGACCGTGTATACTTACGTGTGTGTTTGGTCGCAACAAGTTTTTGACGCTGTTGCCGGGGACTTAGAAATTAACTAGTCTTCTAGATGAGACATTGAATTTTTTTTTTATTCATTTTTTTGTTTTAGTTTAGTTAATATTTTTTTTATTTATTTTAACATGGAATCTTGGAATGAAAGTTATTCAAATGATGGTTATTCTTATTTTGATGATCCTTGTCCATATTGTGGAGGACCGCACTGGTGAAAAAATTGTCAGAATATTCCCGGAAACGAGTTGTGCGCACAATCTCAATCCTTTGAGTGGAATATTTGTAATATGTGTGGTGGTCAAGATGGCCA